CCTTACTTCGCTCTGCATATTTTGCGCCATAATAACTTGTCAGAATATCCAAGTTCAATCTCATCTTTGAGGTGAACACTAATTTCTTAATTTTGCCTTGATCTTTAAAAATTCATAAAAAATTTGTATGTTGAGAAAAAATTTCAAATCTTTCAGAAAATGAAGAAGGCATCATTAAGAATATATGACGAAAAAATTAAATATATTGGAGATCTGTACATTGAGATATAAAGTTTACAATGTACATGGTTTAAGGGGGGCTAATTATTTATGTTACACCCTAATAATATTCAAAATTTTCTTCTAATTTTAAATTTTAGGTAATTATTCCATTTCTTAACCAATTTTTGTCGTTTTCTTCAATGTTTTTTACATTCGGCAAGAAAACAAATGATTCCCCCGAAGATAATAATATAAATTTAATTTTACTATTCCTTAGCAGTTTCAATCATTTTACACCTTTATTTAACCCAATTGTTTGTATATTAACTAATAAGCCCTACAAAGATGCTGTTTATAGTCGGTTGAGGATACATCCACAATAATATAGTAGAGTAGCATCCCGACCCCCGACCTCGACGGATTTTTGTCAAAAACCCCGACACGAACCCCGAAGGCTCTACCCCGATCCCCGACGCAAAACCCCGAGCCGACCCCGAAACCCGACATGCCTTTTCCGGCAAACCCCGATCCCCGACACACCCGCCCCCGAAGGGTCGGGGTGCTACCCTATAATGTAGTGATTTTATTTGAATGAAGTATTTTTTATATATAATTGATAAATTTTTATAGCTTTGACATAAATATCAGGGGTTTGGAAGGTTTTCAGTGGATTTGGAGGGATATCAAGTGATTTGGAAGGTTATCGATCGAGGAATTTGGAGAGGGTATCGTAGGCTTAATGTAGAAATTAGTGGATTGGATATCTTCCCCAAATAATTTCAAGCTTGAGTCATCCCCCCTCCTTAATCCCCCACTATCACGGATCAGAGATGGGCCGGAACAGTCCGAGGTGTCCGGAAATCGGAACGGAAACGGAAGGAAAAAACGTCGGAAAAGGAATTCCGACCCAACTCTGTCACCGATCCGACTTTTTCTCAAAACGTCTCATTTCTGATATATAAAGGATACCTCTTTTTACAACTAGGTGTTATTAACAACTACACATTTGAGAAAATATATTTTAAAAACATTCCTCAGATTACAAATAAGAATAATTAAAAACTAAGAAACATTCCATAACAAAATAACCCCCAAAAATTCTTTTTTTTATTAAAAATTAATTTCTTTATTAATTTCCTCATAATTTCTTGAATATTAACTCTTTCCCTTTTTAACGAGTTTTTGGATGTTGTTCAGAAAGATGAGTTTCCAACTTTTGATATGAACTACATTTAAAAGAACAAACATCACATGAATACCTAAAATTTAAAGAAATAAAAAAACAAAAAATAATTATTTTTACAAACATTATTTCAGCACTGCAAAGTTTAATGTTGTGGTCATTATTCAAATGTGTTAGAATATTAAATGCATAGACCTGAAAAAATTGTTGAGAATTAATTCAGAATAGTTCCGGAAAAATAATAAATTATAATTGCAAATAATTTCAGAATTAAAAATCAGAATTTTATTTCCGGATTTAGTTTATTTCCGGAAAAAAATAATTTCAGAATTAAAAATCAGAATTTTATTTCCGGATTTAGTTTATTTCCGGAAAAAATAATTTCAGAATTAAAAATCAGAATTTTATTTCCGGATTTAGTTTATTTCCGGAAAAAATAATTTCAGAATTAAAAATCAGAATTTTATTTCCGGATTTAGTTTATTTCCGGAAAAAATAATTTCAGAATTAAAAATCAGAATTTTATTTCCGGATTTAGTTTATTTCCGGAAAAAATAATTTCAGAATTAAAAATCAGAATTTTATTTCCGGATTTAGTTTATTTCCGGAAAAAAATAATTTCAGAATTAAAAATCAGAATTTTATTTCCGGATTTAGTTTATTTCCGGAAAAAATAATTTCAGAATTAAAAATCAGAATTTTATTTCCGGATTTAGTTTATTTCCAGAAAAAAATCATTTCAGAATTAAAAATCAGAATTTTATTTCCGGATTTAGTTTATTTCCGGAAAAAAATAATTTCAGAATTAAAAATCAGAATTTTATTTCCGGATTTAGTTTATTTCCGGAAAAAAAATAATTTCAGAATTAAAAATCAGAATTTTATTTCCGGATTTAGTTTATTTCCGGAAAAAATAATTTCAGAATTAAAAATCAGAATTTTATTTCCGGATTTAGTTTATTTCCAGAAAAAAATAATTTCAGAATTAAAAATCAGAATTTTATTTCCGGATTTAGTTTATTTCCAGAAAAAAATAATTTCAGAATTAAAAATCAGAATTTTATTTCCGGATTTAGTTTATTTCCAGAAAAAAATAATTTCAGAATTAAAAATCAGAATTTTATTTCCTGATTTAGTTTATTTCCGGAAAAAAATAATTTCAGAATTAAAAATCAGAATTTTATTTCCGGATTTAGTTTATTTCCGGAAAAAAATAATTTCAGAATTAAAAATCAGAATTTTATTTCCGGATTTAGTTTATTTCCGGAAAAAATAATTTCAGAATTAAAAATCAGAATTTTATTTCCGGATTTAGTTTATTTCCGGAAAAAATAATTTCAGAATTAAAAATCAGAATTTTATTTCCGGATTTAGTTTATTTCCGGAAAAAATAATTTCAGAATTAAAAATCAGAATTTTATTTCCGGATTTAGTTTATTTCCGGAAAAAAATAATTTCAGAATTAAAAATCAGAATTTTATTTCCGGATTTAGTTTATTTCCGGAAAAAAATAATTTCAGAATTAAAAATCAGAATTTTATTTCCGGATTTAGTTTATTTCCGGAAAAAATAATTTCAGAATTAAAAATCAGAATTTTATTTCCGGATTTAGTTTATTTCCGGAAAAAAATAATTTCAGAATTAAAAATCAGAATTTTATTTCCGGATTTAGTTTATTTCCGGAAAAAAATAATTTTAGAATTAAAAATCAGAATTTTATTTCCGGATTTAGTTTATTTCCGGAAAAAATAATTTCAGAATTAAAAATCAGAATTTTATTTCCGGATTTAGTTTATTTCCGGAAAAAATAATTTCAGAATTAAAAATCAGAATTTTATTTCCGGATTTAGTTTATTTCCGGAAAAAATAATTTCAGAATTAAAAATCAGAATTTTATTTCCGGATTTAGTTTATTTCCGGAAAAAAATAATTTCAGAATTAAAAATCAGAATTTTATTTCCGGATTTAGTTTATTTCCGGAAAAAAATAATTTCAGAATTAAAAATCAGAATTTTATTTCCGGATTTAGTTTATTTCCGGAAAAAATAATTTCAGAATTAAAAATCAGAATTTTATTTCCGGATTTAGTTTATTTCCGGAAAAAAATAATTTCAGAATTAAAAATCAGAATTTTATTTCCGGATTTAGTTTATTTCCGGAAAAAATAATTTCAGAATTAAAAATCAGAATTTTATTTCCGGATTTAGTTTATTTCCAGAAAAAAATAATTTCAGAATTAAAAATCAGAATTTTATTTCCGGATTTAGTTTATTTCCGGAAAAAAATAATTTCAGAATTAAAAATCAGAATTTTATTTCCGGATTTAGTTTATTTCCGGAAAAAATAATTTCAGAATTAAAAATCAGAATTTTATTTCCGGATTTAGTTTATTTCCGGAAAAAAATAATTTCAGAATTAAAAATCAGAATTTTATTTCCGGATTTAGTTTATTTCCGGAAAAAAATAATTTCAGAATTAAAAATCAGAATTTTATTTCCGGATTTAGTTTATTTCCAGAAAAAAATAATTTCAGAATTAAAAATCAGAATTTTATTTCCTGATTTAGTTTATTTCCGGAAAAAAATAATTTCAGAATTAAAAATCAGAATTTTATTTCCGGATTTAGTTTATTTCCGGAAAAAAATAATTTCAGAATTAAAAATCAGAATTTTATTTCCGGATTTAGTTTATTTCCGGAAAAAATAATTTCAGAATTAAAAATCAGAATTTTATTTCCGGATTTAGTTTATTTCCGGAAAAAATAATTTCAGAATTAAAAATCAGAATTTTATTTCCGGATTTAGTTTATTTCCGGAAAAAATAATTTCAGAATTAAAAATCAGAATTTTATTTCCGGATTTAGTTTATTTCCGGAAAAAAATAATTTCAGAATTAAAAATCAGAATTTTATTTCCGGATTTAGTTTATTTCCGGAAAAAAATAATTTCAGAATTAAAAATCAGAATTTTATTTCCGGATTTAGTTTATTTCCGGAAAAAATAATTTCAGAATTAAAAATCAGAATTTTATTTCCGGATTTAGTTTATTTCCGGAAAAAAATAATTTCAGAATTAAAAATCAGAATTTTATTTCCGGATTTAGTTTATTTCCGGAAAAAAATAATTTCAGAATTAAAAATCAGAATTTTATTTCCGGATTTAGTTTATTTCCGGAAAAAATAATTTCAGAATTAAAAATCAGAATTTTATTTCCGGATTTAGTTTATTTCCGGAAAAAATAATTTCAGAATTAAAAATCAGAATTTTATTTCCGGATTTAGTTTATTTCCGGAAAAAATAATTTCAGAATTAAAAATCAGAATTTTATTTCCGGATTTAGTTTATTTCCGGAAAAAAATAATTTCAGAATTAAAAATCAGAATTTTATTTCCGGATTTAGTTTATTTCCGGAAAAAAATAATTTCAGAATTAAAAATCAGAATTTTATTTCCGGATTTAGTTTATTTCCGGAAAAAATAATTTCAGAATTAAAAATCAGAATTTTATTTCCGGATTTAGTTTATTTCCGGAAAAAAATAATTTCAGAATTAAAAATCAGAATTTTATTTCCGGATTTAGTTTATTTCCGGAAAAAATATAATTTTTTAAAATATTTAATTCTGAAATTAATTCTGAAACAAAAAATTATTTTTAAATTAAATTACCTTCCCGCATAATTTGCAACGACAACCATCGGTTTTTGATTGTGCTTTCGCTAGCAAATCAGAAGTTACTAAGTGGTGGGACATGAGTAAATGACGCTCAAGGCCTTTAATATAAGGGAAATTTGTTTCCTAAAGTTTCTGTCATTTCGACTACCTTCATAAGTCCAAAAACGTTCTCTACAACGGCTACAAGCTAAAGGCGCTCCCTGTGCCATATCTGTAGCTGTTTTGCCTTTCAATTGGTTGTGCTTAGATTGCAAATGGATTCGGTAATTATCGCGGTCACGGCAACTAGCATCGCAAATTTCACATATTTGAGTGACTTTTCGTGCAGCATCCGGTGTTGAAGTACCGGTGTTTGTTTTCTAGGTTTGAAAATAAAATTTTATTGAATTTAAATACAAGAGAAAGGTTATTTGAAGTAGTATATTTCCGGAAATGACAATTAATTTAATATTAGCTCAAGAAATTTAAGAATAAAAGGTTTCCGGAAAGAGTTTAATAATTTTCCGGAAAAAGTTTAATAATTTTCCGGAAAGAGTTTATAATTTTCCGGAAAAAGTTTAATAATTTTCCGGAAAGAGTTTATAATTTTCCGGAAAGAGTTTATAATTTTCCGGAAAAAGTTTAATAATTTTCCGGAAAGAGTTTATAATTTTCCGGAAAAAGTTTAATAATTTTCCGGAAAGAATTGAATAATAAATTTCAGAATTTAAATCAGAATAATTTTTCCGGTACTTTTTATTTCCATTTGTTAATTCCGGAATTAAATCAGAATTATAAGTATAATAATAGAAATATTTATGTTTCATTAGAAAAAAAATTTTACATTCAAAGTTCGCACTTGTGCCAATGCAGCAGGGCTGCTACCAGTTTTTAATCCTGCTGCAGCGGCAGCTGCAGCCAATATTTGATTTGATTTTTGCTGAATTTGTTTGTTCTTTTGTAATTGAAGCATTTGAGCTTTCATTGCTACAAGGGAAAAAATTTATTTTGAGAAGAAAATGTTAAATTTGCCTGCTTGAAGTAGTTGAGGAGTGATTTTCGAATTATTCGCATTATTATTAGTTGCACCAACACTTCCAGGTTCGTTGCTATCCTTAGCAAATCGCAGTACGTCGCCAACTGTAGGAATTGTATCTGAACCTCCAGAAGCTATAATTAATTTAGTTATTTCTCAGAATAATATATTATTTTTGGAATGTCAGGAAATTTAAAATAATCCGTAAAAAGCAAAAAAAAAGTAAAATTATATTAATCTAAGAATATTTTAATTCTGAAATATTTTCTGAAATTCTAAAATAATTTTTGATGTAGGTATATTTAATTCTGTAATTAATAAAGAAGAAATTCTGAAAAAATATTACAAATATATATATCAGAATATCTAATTATTAATTCCGGAAAATGTTTAATTCCGGAAAGCTCAGAATATTTAATAATTAAGTTTAATTCTGGAAATATCAGAATATTATTTATTTAATTCCGGAAAAAGTTTAATTGTGTAAATATCAGAATATTTAATAATTAATTCCGGAAAATGTTTAATTCCGGAAAGCTCAGAATATTTAATAATTAATTCCGGAAAAAGTTTAATTCCGCAAATATTAGAATACTATTAATCAATTCCAGAAAAATATTTATTCCGGAAATATCAGAATATCTAATTATTAATTCCGGAAAATGTTTAATTCCGGAAATATCAGAATATCTAATTAATAATTCCGGAAAATGTTTAATTCCGGAAATATCAGAATATCTAATTAATAATTCCGGAAAATGTTTAATTCCGGAAATATCAGAATATTTAATTAATAATTCCGGAAAATGTTTAATTCCGGAAATATCAGAATATTTAATTATTAATTCCGGAAAATGTTTAATTCCGGAAAGCTCAGAATATTATTTGAAAATTTATTCCGGAAAAATATTTATTCCAGAAATATCAGAATATTATTTAATTAATTCCGGAAAAAGTTTATTTCGGAAAAACAAGAATGTTATTTAATTATTCAGGAAATATCAGAATATTATTTAATTATTAATTCCGGAAAATGTTTAATTCCGGAAATATCAGAATATTATTTAATTACCGCCAGCAGCTTTTAGTGAAGCAGCCGTTAAAGTAGCCAATTGTTTTTGCTGTGCAGGTGAAAGTGATGACAATAATTGTTGATTGTTTCGTGTTTGTTGTTGAATACCAAGACGAGAAGCCAAAGAAGGCGAAACAGAATTTCCCCCGCTCATTAACAAAGCTCGTTGTTGCCGTAAAAGTTGTTGGGGAGGCAAAACTTGATTTGGCGTTGCAGAACCCCGAAAAGCTGCAACGGCTTGTTGTTGCTTAATTTTTTGTTGTTGTAATTGTTGTTGGCGAAGCTGAAAAATGACATTTAATTGAATTTCTCTAAAATTTTAAGACTTGTTGTTGGCGCTGTTGAGAAGCTGCCTCCTGTTGTTGACTTAAAATAGAAGGCTCAATTGGCGGTTTATCCCAAAGCCAACGATTAATAACGTTTATATCCTCAACAGCTCTACCCATTTGAATATTGCGAAGTTTGGTAAGATCACGACGGCACATCTTAAAATTTTTTAAATTAATTTTTTCGATCAAATATGCCTTCATATGCTGATCCCGTTGCACTTTATAATTAAATTCTGCATCACAAATTGGGCATTGCATAGCATTTGGAGCTTGGTCTACAACAACAGGTTTAAAGCAATGAGCCTCTCTATAAAAATAATTTTTTAATTAAAAATTGAATAATTAATTTACGTTATATGCATAATCATTCTATTCTCATTTGTGTCAAATTCGCGACAACTAAAATTTAAAATAAAGGAAAGATCAGAATTATAAAACAGAATATTTTATTTACGGAAATAATTTATAATTTAATCCGGAAAAATCAGAAAAGTATAATTCAGAAAAATAATAATATGAATATTTAATAATTAATTCCGGAAAAAGTTTAATTGTGGAAGGATCGGAATTTTTAATATTAATTCCGGAAAATGTTTAATTCCAGAAATATCAGAATATCTAATAATTAATTCCGGAAAAAACTTAATTCCGGAAATATGAGAATATTTAATATTAATTCCGGAAAAAGTTTAATTACGGAAATTTTTGATTTAATTCTGATATTAGAAAATAATTTAAAATCAGAATTAAATTCCGGAAATGTCTAATCAAGTAAACTAAAATAAATTTTGCGGAAAAAATATTGAGGAAAGGAATTTAAATATTTTTACAATAAATTTATTCCGGAAATCAGAATAAACATTAAACAAAATTCTGATATACTCACAATGTACATTGATATCGTCGTCCAACATAATGCAAAGTCATTCTATGTGCACTCAATATCTAGGGGGGTTGAAATTTTTTAAATTTCAAATTAAATAAAAATTAAATTTACCATCTTGCTTTCAGTTTTAAACCCGCAAACATGGCATTTATAAATTTTTAAAACAAAAGGGGCATTCTTTTCTAAAATATTTTTAAATTTTAATGTAAAATTTTAAATTCTGATTTAATTAAAAATCACCTTTTAACGACTGCCAAACAGGGCGGAGTTGGGCAGCCACCTTAAATGTGAGAAAATAATTTAAAGGTGAAGTGGGAAAGTTTAGTTCAGAAGTTAATTAATAAAAATAAATTGAATTAATTCTGAAAAAATCAGAATTTTTAATTCCGGAAAATATTAAAATTATTTACTTAAAAATCAGAATTTTTGATTCCGGAAATATTAATATTTATTAAGGAAAATCAGAATTCTTAATAAAATCAGAATTTTAATATTAGTATTTAAAACCAGAATTTTTAATTCTGACGTTATAAAAAATCAGAATTTTTAATTCTGGAAAATATTATAATATTTACCAAAGAAAATCAGAATTTTTAATTCCGGAAATACAAAAATTATTTCTATAAAAAATCAGAATTTTTAAAAAATCAGAATTTTTAATTCCGGACATAATAATATTATATTAACATAAGGAAACTCAGAATTTTTAATTCTGGTCTTATAGAAAATCAGAATTTTAAATTCCGGACATAATAATATTATATTAACATAAGGAAACTCAGAATTTTTAATTCTGGTCTTATAGAAAATCAGAATTTTAAATTCCGGAAAATATAATTATTTAATAACAAAATCAGAATTAAATTTCAGAAAATACATTTAAAAACCAGAATATTAAACAAGTCTCCCCAAAACTTCACCTGTTTGTAAGTATCCATATTTTTAGGCATTTCAGGTAAATTCTTAGCATGTACAATATCAAAATAAGTAGATTCTTGAACTAAATCTTGCCCCATATCCATTAATAATTTTGTCATGTTAGGGGCTGGATTTGTTGCCCTTAAGTATTGCTTCTCCCTCCGTTCATTTTCTGCCAATTTTGGACGTTCCTCCCCAAAAAGCCGGTTGATGACGCGTGAAAGTTGGTGATCGGGGTCATGTTCAATTAATAGATCGACAACCTTTTTAATAATTAATTTTTAATTTTTGTGAATTTTTAAAGAAAAATTCTTTTTTTTAACCCACTTGTGAAGGAGGGAAAGATATTGTGTTTGGAAGGACCAATTGTTTATCAAGTATTAATTTACGAACAGCATAAGGCTCTTTTTGGACTTGAATGTTAATTGCGGCAAGTAAAGCATCCAAAACCTTTTAAAATTATTTTAATAATATTTTTTTTTTTTAAATATGGACCTAAAAAGGACAATACATATGTATAAATTAAAGTTTTCCGGAATAAATCAGAAAAACTTTATTTATTAAATTATAATAATTCTGTTATAAGTAACTAATAATTAGAGTTAGACAAAATATGCAAGGAAAGTCGCTAAATATGCGCATATATACAAAAAAAAATGCTCGAGAGGTCCAAAATATGCAAATATATGCAATAAGAGCCGTGTTCTAAAATGCTCAAACCAACGTAAAAACACCATTTTTGGGCTTCACTTATCAAGGCATATCCGCATACAAAACATGCATTTGCATGTTTTCCAACCCTAATCATAATAATTTTAAAAATTAAAATAAAATTTTTTGAAGGCATTATTGTTAGCGAGTTAAAATCGGAAAAAAATTTTTAAATTGTAAACGCCACCTTTGTGAAATACCAAATAATATTTTTATATTAAAAATCCCTTCACCTTTCTATCCATATTTTCCCCCTTATCCAAAGCATTCAGCACATACAATTCTAACCGGTCTAATAAAACATTGTAAGAATTTAGAGGTGTTGAAGAAGCTGAAGTATTTAAAGTTTTGGTTTTTGAGTTGGGTGTATCCTTGTCCTTTTCTTCAGTTTGTATTGAATGGGATATAGATGACTGAAATTATTTTTAATTTAAAAATTAAAAGTGAAAGTGAACACAGAAAACATCCACAACACTGTATCAATTACCCTCACTCTAATACTTGCCCCCTCTCAACAAATTTTCACATATAGGAGGTTTTTAATGTGTGGACGGATATGTACGTATGCGATGTCATTCGACTCAGCATGAGCTCAGCTCGGCAAGCTGACAATTAGTCGAATGACACAACATACGTATGTACATATCCGTCCACGTATTAAAAACCTCCTAATAAGTGAAGAGTACCAATTAATTACCCATCAAGCGAGAGGTTGAAACAATGATTACCCTGGGTAATGATTTGAGACAATACGGTATCCACAAAACTGTGTGTGGATTGAGTTTTGAGATTTTCTTAAGTGTTTTGAAATTATGGCCAAAATATAAGGAATAAAAATTATTAAAACAAGTATCTAATTTACAGACAAAATTATAATCGTAATAAAAATAGTAAGAATAATTTAGGGAGCTGGCCAAAGTACCGCAGAGCTATAACTTCGTTCTAAGTGATCAAATCCGGGACGCCCTGGCACGGTTCGATGCGTCTCAAGAAATATGCAAGGGAGTCCCGGATTCGAGCATTTTGAATGAAGTTATGGCTCTGCGATACCTTGGGCTTGCTGTACCTTGGGATGTACCCAATAATTTAGTAATATGCCTTGGCTCCGATTGTTGTTGAAGCGAGGGTTAATTTTTAATTTTAGGATAACCCCCAAAATAAATTTTGCACAATATAAAATATTTTATTTGCCAAAAATTAAAAATTATTCTAAATTTTAATTTAAAAACCCACGTCTTTAGCCGCTCTAGGATCTTCCGGTACCGGACTCGAACTCCCATCTCTAGGCCATTCACTATTTCTCCTTTGCCCCGTTGTTGCAATTTTGGGTCTTTTAGCTGCTGGGGGTTTTTCTTCAATAACTTTAATATCATCCTCTTCCTCCTCCCCTCCTTCCCTTTCTTCATTCTCTTCTCTTTCTTCCCCTTCATTATCCTCTTCAATTTGTTGAATATCTTCGGCTACAACACCAACACTGTCATTTTCATCATCTTCCAATAATTCAATACAATCAACCGATTTTGGGGTATTTTTGGTATTTTCATCTTCTTTCTGAATGTTTTTGGGGGAAGATGAAGATGATTCGATCATTTCAATTGGCTTGAAAAAATATTAATAAAAATATTCTGAAATATTTTCTCATCTGAGAAAATTTTAGACTCTTTGACTTATTGTTAGTATGTATCAATGGACTCTCAGTTCGCGGGCAGAGTCGAGATCCTTTCTTATAGCTAGGGTCCGGATTTATATTGAAATAAGGCACAAAACGACCATGGTCATGAACAAGCCTTGGCTGATCAGTGTCTGCCCATCGAGTTCGAAAAGAAGAAAGACTGAGAGAAATTAGACTCTTTGCCTTATTGTTAGTACCAATGGACTCTCGACTCTCAGTTCGCGGGCATCAGTGATAGATGTGATGAAAAAATGGACAGTGGTCAGTTCGCGGGCAGGGTCGCTTCAGTGATTTATTTTAATATACATACGGACCCTACTATAGGTAGCATTCTAAAGCTCTAAATGTGCCGAGTACTTTTTTGAAAGGACCCGATAGATTCGATTATTCAATCAAGAATTATAATTATCTAAGTGTCCGACTTTTTAAAATTTTAAATGTGCGTTATTTTAAATTTCTGCAGAAAAAATGACATTTTATCCCAAGATTACAGTAAACAAGAACATTGAGATAAAGTCCAAAAATTATTTAAAATTATTTCAAAGGCGGTACTTCCCAATCAAAACGATACCCGAATTCGGTTCAGTGAGCGCATTGCGTTTTGCGTTAAATTTTGGCCTTGCGTTCCGTTTTATGAAATAGACTTGCATGCAAGAGGAAGAGGCATCTTTGAGATTCTCTTATCTCAAGAAACGCAACGCAAACCGAAATTTAACGCAAGACGCAATGCGTCCACCCCTAACCCGAATGCGGATTTAAAATTATTTCAAGGCTGGGTAAAAGGTACAACTCTAATTATAAGACAATCTACCGTATTTCCTCTAAAATAGCCCCAGGGGTTATTTTTTTCGATCAACCTCTAGAGGTGGGGGGGGGGGGGGTATTTTTGAGGCTGGAGCTATTTTACAGGAAATACGGTATCTTGTCGTAATATTTTCCACCCACCTCCTCGTTATTGGCTTCATTTTGATCTTTCCCACTTTGTTGTTGTTGATCTACTTCCATTGTTTTTTCTTCCTGTAAATCAGAAGTAGACTCTAATACTGAAGAATTTGAAAGCATTTTTAAAAATAATTTTAAGTATTTTGGGCAGTTTTATAAAAATTATGAAATATCTAAATTTGGAGAAAAATTGAAAAAAAATTAGTTAAAGGGGGAAGCGAAAAAAATTTTTTTTAAAAAGAAAAAATTAAAGGGAGAAAAGTGTATAAGCGAGAATGTTTGAGAAATCAATAAAATCGATAAAAATGGAGGATTTAAAGTCAGAAAACGGAGAAATGAGAAAAAAATTTGACAAAAATAAATTGAAAAATTTTATTTTTATGGAAGGAAATTAAGTTTTCTGTAGGTTGAAATATGCCGGAATTTTAGAGGTTTTTAATTTTTGGTACCTTTTGGGTCTTTGATTTAATTAAATTTAGTCTAGATTTACATAGTTAGCTTTATTCTCGTTAAGGTTAAATTTGGTAATTCTTCGGTTGTCGCCCCCCCCCCTTTTTTATGTTCTATTTTTTTACATTTTACATGAAATTTCTATGAACTTTTATATACATTCGAAAGAGCACTTTGAGTTGAGTCGAACGGCACTAGAATCGTCGAAATCTGAATTAAATCAACATAGTTATGAGTAATTGTTTTATCCCTTTAAAAATCACAAAAAACATGTCCACAAAGGATTTAGCTTCATAATTTTGTTCAAAATTGCCAAATCTAACCGATCATAGTACCAATCAACTCAGCTCGGATAGCTCTTTCGAATGATATATAAATTATTATATGTCAAAGCAAAAAAGCTCAAAATGGTCAGGGAAGCATAAAAAAAGGGGTGGGGCGACAACCGAAGAATTACCGTTTAAATTTAATATAATTTTTATTAGGGAATGCTGGCTATAAACATGTAGGTACCGCTCGGGATTTTCATTAATAATGTCTTCGAGGGTACTTATTTACTTCCCCCAGTCAGTTTTTCCATAAATATGTAAAAAATGGTCAGTCAGTGATACCAATCTTAATCCACTCTAATTTTTGACTAAATTATTGTTTATTTTTTAAATTAAAATTCATCTCACTTAATTTAAACAATCATGCCAATGAAAAAAAACAAAATTTTGATCAGCTTTGCTTTTTTATAGGTAATTAATTTTCAAAATTTTAACCAACGTTGTCAGTGGTATCATTGGAATTTTATAATTTTTTGAATAAATAAATGAGAATTTAAATATTTTGTTAGTTTTTAATTATTTAAAATTAAAATTCGTTAGAGATCAAATCTTTTTTTAATTAAAAATAGCCTGTTTGGTCGTTAGAATTCGGGTCACTTAATTCGCTGTGCACAAGTAAGGGTTGGAATTACGAGAGAGGGAAGTTAAATTATTCGAAGGCGTTTCTTAAATTAAAATTCTAAAATTTTATTTCAAAATATATTTTATTTATATATGTATTTGTATTTTTTTAGCATTTTTCAAAGAAAAAATTATTTTAATTAAATCAGGCGATTTTACACAATATCAATTAATACAAAAATATTTTAAGAAAAACATAAAAAATTAAAATTTGGAAAAACGATGTTATTTACAATTAAAAGATTAAATATCTCGGATTTTTTCGTCCTTACTCGGGGCGAACTTGAGATCCTAATACTTTGGGGAGGATCCTAATACTTACTCAGGCTCGGTGTAAACCTAGTCAACTTATTCCCAATTACTCGACTACTAAGGGCTCGATCGGTAGTCGAGCCCGGGTAAGGACGAAAAAATCCGAGGGAGGGCAAAAACTGTAGAATAATCTACTGCTCGAAAGTAACCTAGAACTAAATATAAAAAATTTTACAAAATATATATTTACAAATATAGAAATTTACATATAAAATAATTAGAAAATACTATAAAATAATGGTAACCCAACTAGTTTTGAGTATAACACAAAAATACAACCGACAAAAATTTGCGTTGTTTAAATATACACATTCGCCATTAAATGAACGAGACGATTATTGATTGTCCTTTCTGTTGCTGTTTAATGTTATATTTCTCTTATATAGCGAAATTCTCATTTTTATATTAGAAAATACACTTGTGTATTTTTCCTCTAATTTCTCTAATTCTCTTTTATATACACAGTCTCTCACTATTTTATATTCCCTTCTCTCCCTCTCTCATTTAAGTAAGCTTTTTAGTTGAAATTATATATATTTTTACATCCTTCTTCTCCAAACACAACATTCATCCACTTCACAGGGCGAAATACATACCTTCGCTTTTTTGTAAACCGAGAGATCAAAAAGTCCATTAGAGTCGGTACTCACACTCCTTAATAATTTCATAATTGGTGATCTCTAAGGTGTTGATATTTTGGATGAAATCGAAACTAGACAGTTAGTGATATTCTGGGTGGAAAGCAGTAAGAAGCAAATGGATGCAGCTCAAAACAACCCTGGGCGCAAAGCCATAACTAGCTGGAAAATTTCTAGCCCTTACTAAATTTGGTACCAATCTCTTTAGCTTGATGTGAAGAAGCGTTTAATACTAAAATTGGTAAAATTAGGAAATCTTGAAGCGAGTTATGGCTTTGCGTTTTTATGGCCACGCGTTGTTTTAAGCGTGTCCCGAAGCAGTAAGAAGCTATCTATTTTGACATGCTGACAGTCCAGGACATGTCCGGGTATTTCAAGAATAGTTAATCTTTGATTTTAGGACCTATGGTCATAAGGTCTTGGATAATAATCCTATTGAAGAAGTGTTTTTAGAAGGAACATAAACATGGAAGAGGTGATATTTTTGTCTATTTTTTCCACTCCGATCTTTAGTTATTACATATTGTTTAGAAATTTTTAGTAAAAATTTTGCCGTTAAATTATATTGACATTGTAAAGCATATAGCTATTTAATTCCCAAGTCTATGCAATAGGCTGCGTATCTAATGGCTAACACATCAGTCCGGTCTACTGAAGATGCTGGTTCGCTCCCAGCCGCCGATTAACCATTTGCACTAGCTAAAGGAGAGAAATAGCTATAGCCCAACTGCTTTACACCATTGATCTCAAGTAGAAAAACAAAAGGAAATCCCTAAACTCTAAAATCAACGGGAAATGAGGGTTATTTATTAAATTTGATTTCTGTTCCAACTTTCTTCCAAAAAATGAACAAAAGAGATCATCGAAAAAACTAATTTAACAGCCTTCGTCTTCTATCCTTCCATGATTATCATAGTATGTCATCCCGTGTCTCTCCACCAATTCAGACTTTCTAAAGTTACCTAACTCTTTAATACCCCGAATTTCTTTACAACTTACTGTAGATTTAAAAATAAATTTAAATATTTTTACTTAAAAAGTGCATCTATGTGGCAATTGATTATTCTCTTTTTTAATTTTACCGAGGAAAAATACATTTAATCAATTTTTTTATTTGGCCAGCCTTTTACATTTTTAATAAATTTAAAGGAAACACAGGGTTGTTAATGAAATATTAAATTAAATAATTTATTTTAGACAAAACAACTTTAAAAAATTAAAATAATTTTACATAAAAACTTCTATTTAATCATGAAGAGGAGTGAGGGTTCGGGGGGCTGGAAGATCCGGGTATCCGGGTAATGTCATGAATTTTTCTGTTATTCTGCAAATGTCAGGAAATCCCCGAACCTCTTCCCAACATCCTCCGTTAACATCCACGTACTTTTTTGGCAGCATGCATACTTTCTGTAGTTGTTTAGCCTGGCTTATTATTCTTTAAATGTCATTGTTTCCACGAAAATCATTCCTGAAACTCTCTCTGTTGCAGGACAGTATTAACTACTTTAAAAAATATTCATAGGATTAGGGAAAAATATCCATAAGACCTCCTAATGAAGCTCCGCCCTCGTTCTTCTATGAAGCCTCAATAGACCCTGGAAACCTTTATTCCTGTGCCATATTAGCCCCTGCTAGTACCTAATCACCCTCGTCTACTCCAGCCAATTCACTTTGAATAAATTGTTATTCTTGTACACGTCGACTGATAAATCTCGGTCGAACATAACATCCCCCTCAAAAAATTTTTTTTCAAGCCAAATTCCAAAAATAATCCAATTTTTAGAAGAAAATGTTAATTAATTTATTTTCTTCGATAATTTTACAAATATTTATTTTGTTTTTATTTAAAACAAAAAATTGTTTGGCAAATGATGTTGAATTAAAAATCAACGAGGATTACGAAAATTCTCGTCAATTTAATTATTTATTTAATTATAAAATGGAAAATTTAAATTTTAAATGTAATTTATGGGTTAAAAGAGAAAATATATTTAAAAAAATTGAAGGAACAAAAATTGAAAAAAATATTTTTATTTTTAAAAATTATTTTGTTAAAGAAGAAAATAAAAATTTGGAAAATTATTTTGCTGAATTTTTTATAGAAATACCTTTATATTATATTTTGAAATATATTATTCCGAAAGCTAAAAACCAGGTAAATAAAAGGACGAGATTGGAGGGGGGGTTAAATAATGTAGTAAAGCAGCTGGGCTATAGCTATTTCTCTCCTTTAGCTAGTGCAAAATGTTAATCGGCGGCTGGGAGCGAACCAGCATCTTCAGTAGACCGGACTGATGTGTTAGTCATTACACCACGCCGCCTACTGCTCAGCCTTAGGAATTAAATAGCTATATGCTTTACAATATTTATAGCAAAGATGTCCACTTTTTTATGTTAAAATTTTGACAGGTGGAGGACAGGAGCGGACCTGATCTTTTAAATAAATCCCGTACCTTTCAAAAGCTCTAGACTTTCGACTCTTTCTTCTAGTGAAGTTCTTTATAATATAACTCGGGCTGGGAAAACTATCGAAATTATAGGTCTCAATAAACGATAGAATTATCCTCGAGATCTCTTGGTCCCGGCTCTCATTTAGTGGGAATTGCCCATAATCTGTTAATTACTGAACAGACTTAAGATAGACTATCCTAGCACCTTATTTTTAAAATAATATTTATATTTTTTAAAGATTATTAAAAGAAAAATTTTTACAAATGAGGTCCAAATTATAAGTAATAAAATAGACAATAATAAAGGAGAATATCAAATATCTA